GGCTTTATGGAATTTGATCTCGTGACCAACCCGTATTTATATCCCGATAGATGTTTAAAAATGATACATTATTTCTTAAATATATATAAAATACATGGTTACTGTCTTGAAATATAAGCGATATTTGGGCGAGGGTAAGAAAACGTGATAGAGGGCGAGGCTTGCCGAGCCCCTATCACGTTTTCGACCCGAGCCCAAATATCGCTTATATTTCAAGACAGTCTCCGTGTATTTTGTTTATCCTGCAACACATTTTTACAGGACCTCCAAAACGAGCTGTTTTCAACCGATTTAGGTACATCTCTGCAGTTAAAACTAAGACGCCATGGCGTAAACATTGCAATATTCATGACGTCACAATGCTTTTAGAACGTTGGAATACGTGCACGAGGCTTTATTAGGGCATTGACCGAATAAAGCTTTGGTTTATTAGGTTACCTTTATTAGGTCAATACAAGGGGTAGTTGCAGGATAAATATATATATTAGGGATGGCAATTTGTAACCGGTTAACCGATTACTCGGTCGGAACGATGGTAATCGGTTAGAAAATCTGTAATCGGTTAGTCGGAAAAAAAAAATAAAATATATGTAAATTTGAATGCAATTTTCATAAAATTCATTTGTAAAAAGAAACTTCTGCATAAAAGTTGATAATTTAGGTAATTATGGCTTTACAGTTCGAGATCGCGGAGTAATTGGTCAGTTTGTGAAGTTAATTACTGTTTTTAAAAACACCACGTCGTTACCCCGATTGTCTTGTAATTCTTTAATGATATTAAATGATATTAAATCACTGTTGAGCACTATGAATTGGTGTGTGTGTCTTTTGCCGTTATCTATTAAATTATATTATTAGACAAACATTGTAAATTAAGTGAAAGTTCAGTCATAGTTTTGATTATTGTGACAATGCAAAATGAACCTGTATGACATTATGCTCTGAAAAATTATCAATGTCCGATTTCTCAGACATGTTTCATGGTTTTCTTATTTTTTTTTCTTGTTTATTGAAATTGAAATAAAATATATTTACATGTAGTTTCCTGATTAAGATAAACAGACTGTTTTTAACTTTTAACTTCTTTTTCAGTCTTCTTGTGTATATGAATAGCGCTACTTGAAAAAAAATATGTTAAGAAAATGTCTGTTTTGATACGATTAACCGGTTAATCGGTCGGAACGTCTTTCGGTTAACCGATTAGCAATTCTGTATTCGATTGCCATCCCTAATATATATATATATATATATATATATATATATATATATATATATATATATATATATATATATATATATATATATATATATATATATATATATATATATATATATAGAAAGCACTAAAAATTACCAAAGACACGAACAATAGAAATTGTCAAATTTTCGGGACGCCCTGTCCCTTCCTCAGGACAAAGAAAAAAAGTTAAGAAGTCATAAAAACAAAGGAAATAGAAAAACAAAAACGGCTAGCACTACTACTAAACTACCGAACACTATTTATTTACAACTTTTATATATGTTTTATATAACATATATAATATATATATAGCACTGAGCATCGGTCAGAAAAAGCAAGGAAAAGTTCTGGATGCACAGACTGAAGTCATTCCGCCCTAATGGTATCAACAAACTAAATGACTTCACCAGGATGAACGTGAACTAGACCCAATTCCAGTAAACCCAGTAAAACTCGATTATAGCGAAGTCCTGTTATTTGTTAAAGTATATATAACGAATTCACAATATGCATCTTTTCCTTCAAGTATGACTACCAAATATGTTTTGGGAGGTATTAAATACAAAATTTTACTTCGGGTACTAAATATTTCTGAGGAATGGAATTTCAAACCTAAATACTTATAAAAAAATTATGTCAGTTTAATATTTTGAACTTTAAGATATTGAAAATTCGTTATAAAAGATGTAATTTTCGTGATTTTTAACCTCTACGGAACAGAAAATCAGTTCGCTATATCCGTAAATTCATTATATCCAAGTTCGTTATAACCGTAATATTTTCCTTGGATTTGTTAAGAATTTTGCCGGGGATTCCAAAAAACTTCGCTATAGCCGTGAACTCGCTATATCCGTGTTCGTACTAAATGAGTTTTACTGTAGTATTAACTTTACCGTTAATTCGCATTATTAATTCTGGAACAACCCACGCATAGATATATATATATATATATATATATATATATATATATATATATATATATATATATATATATATATATATATATATATATATATATATATATATTTGCACTAGGAACCATTTTATATAAATTATTTACAGTATTCTTTATTTACCTCCCGAAGTCCGACATTAATAAGATTAATATCATAATTGAATCAGTTTAAAGTGTTTTAGTACTATTATCATCCTAAATCTGTCTAGAATAAATCAATTAGGCGCTAAAATAAATGGCAATGTTTTAAGTTCGATACAATAAAACATTTTAGGCCCCATCTTACACTTTTTTACAAAACGTATGTATGCGGCATATATCTTAATACAGATTAGAAGTACAATATCCGTTAATATTTTATAAATTCAGGAAATACTGAACTTTAAATAATAAATACACAAAAGTTCCTAAATTAATATTTGAAAATAAATAAGTTTAGGGTTACTCATCATATTTAACATTTATTTAGCCATTATGCATAATCGTCAATTTTAAAACATCGCACGAACAGAATTTGCATTTTAATAGTTATGTCACGGTATAAAATGTGACTTTTTTGGGACTTAATATAAATTACTGTGTAAATTTACTTTTCAGACTTTGTGTCAATTAATTGTTATAAAAACTTTTCGTAGATTTCTGCAAATGTGCTATATTCCGCACATCCTTAATCCCACCCGAGGCACAGCCAGGGATGGACAGTTAATTTCTTAATTGAATTCTGTTTATATTTATTGGCATTAATCTTTCATCTAAATAAAACTTTTTATGCACATGCCGCTAAAGTGTCATCAGTCACTCAATAACTGTTCGGTAATTTCTTTATACTTTCTTGTTAATCATTTTATTTTGGTCTAACTTTGTTCAGTATGTATGTTTTGTTGTTTAAAATTATAGTCAGTTGGAATCAGACCTTCGGTGCTGATACATCCAAAACTCATGTAAAAGTATATTCCTTTGCTAATTACATATAAAAGCACAAAAATTGTATCTCGTGTTTCTGTCTCTAGGTTTTTATGAATCTGGGTTCAAAAATAAGAGGAAAACTCAGGATTGGCCCAGAATAAGTATTAGACGGACAAATCGACCCCATAATAGTTATACCACGTATATTCAGTATCACTTTATAGTAAATTTGTGCATACCATGCAAATTTAATTTAATTTTCTAAATAAGAAATTTGAGTTATTAGAGTACATGACAGTGTTCCGTGTACTTAATGTTGATTTTCATAAATATGAGAAATAACCTATGTAGAGTCTGTTCTTATCACTATTCATAAATACATTGTATCAATTGAATGATGAAACAAACAGGGAAACTGAAAAATTAAAAAATAATATCATCATTAAGATGTTTTAATTATTAATTCATATGACGGACAACTTTTACTCAAACAATGAAAATGTTAGTTTAAAAAAAACCCATTGTTTCACTATAGAAAAATATATTAATCTGGAAACTATATTTGAAGCAAGGGGAAGTCTCGCTATGAAAGAGGAAGACTAGCTATATAGTGAAACTACCCCCGGAAGACTGGCTATATAGTGAGACCTCCCCGGGAGAAGTCTCACTATATAGCCAGTCTTCCTGGGGGAAATCTCGCTATGTAGCCAGCCTTCTGGGGGGAAGTCTCAGTATTGGGGAAGTCTCACTATACGACACTGGTACATGGATTGAAAAAATATACCTTTTTGTAATTAAGATAGTCCAAAATAAAGAATAAATTCAATATAGTTCGTTAGCAACAGAATATATTGAACATGTACTGCCCAGTGGGCTATTTTTTCTGGTGATGCAGTACAGTCTCCATCGATTTTACGCAATTTAAGCTGCTGCGAGCATGTATGAATAGCACTTTGATGGGTGACTACTTCACGATGAAAAAGTTGGCAGCGTAGTGACTCTGGTGTTTGGCGACCTGCTCTGGAAACTTTGGAGCTAGGACGTAGTGTCCAATTACAGACTTAGTATCTGTGGATAACATTTGGTTGCTTTTACTGAAGAGGTTCCAGACCTGCTTCAGAAGGCTCTAGGGGAAGGATTATGCGTTCAAATACGGTATTAGTTTCGTAGGACGAATTGGTTGCCGTTTCTGAAAAGGCCCTTGACACTAAGAAAGAACTGGTGCTAAGCTTCGGGACGGAGGTTCCTGAGCAAATGGGGGAAGGGGGGATGAAGGGGACAATATACTGCCTTGCTAGTAACTAGCTGTTCTGGTGATGCTGTAGAGTATCGATCGTTTCAGACATCTTATGCTGCTGCCAAGCGGAAGAGCCCTTATTATTGTTCAATATAAAAGGATAACATTTTTGAGCTAAGATGAAAATTACCTTTTATATCTCATTAAGACATTTTCAAATTTAAAGTTCAAAATAACATTTAAAGGGGATCAGAGGTTATTCAGTTGGAATTGAAAGGGGGGCATTAAATTCTTTTCCATATCAGATGGAAAAATAACTATTATTTTAAATACGCCATTTACTGTACAATACAAATGGCGTGAATACATTTAGTATGAAAATTAAAATTTCGAAACAATTTAACAATCAGTGATATTAAAAATATGACTAGAATACCTCTTGAAAGTGTTCTGATTTCACTAATCCATGTTCATGATGTTGTAGTGAAAGGAATGTTTTGAGTGGTTTTATCCTGTTTAGATATACATGTAGGTTTATGGATATGTATTGTTTAAATGATTATATAATAGCAACTGGCTTTGTGCATATATAGTTATCTCTGATAAAATGTATCACTCAGGTGGTATAAGTCATCGACTCACTTATTGATAAAATTGACTTGATGCATATTTCTTATATCAAAGGTAGTGTTGCTGGAACGGTTTCCACAGCAGGCTCTCTCACGGCCATTATTGGAGGTTCTGTTGACTTTACTTGTATATATACCTTAGACTCTGGTGATATAGTCTATCCAGGAACAATTTCTTGGCAAGTCAAAACAGTCCCAGGACAAGAGGATTTTACAAATATAGCCTATTTTTCTCCACCTGGAACAACTGTTCCAAATTCCTTTACAGACTTTGCCACTGATTATAAGAATCGATCTGAATTATTTAATGTAACAGCTGATGGAGATAATTCTTATGTTGTTGTGATGAGAGTAAACGAAGTGGTATGTTCAGACGAGAATCACTACAGATGTTCTGTTTTATTCGTAAATACTGCATTAGGTCTTGCACCTAAGACAAAAGAAACGTCTCTCACAGCTAGAGGTAAGTATTCTATCATACCGGTACCCAAAAAAGTGATTATATATATATATATATATATATATATATATATATATATATATATATATATATATATATATATATATATATATATATATATATCACTCCTTTGGGTATGTATAATGTATGTATGTATATATATAATGTAAATGCATGCATATTGATAAATTTTCTATGTATTAAGTTTTAATTGTATTAACCACAAAAAATCTCTTGAATGCAAAATTATAATTAAAAATATTAACAACTTTTCTGTAAATGTTTGTTAATATGTAATTGCAGCACCCGCTGAGCGGCCATATGAAATTCCAATTCTTACACCAGAAAATATAGAAGAGAACACGGAAGTGACTTTTTTCTGGAAAGCCAATGTTGGAAAACCTCCAGGACAAATCAGATGGTGGCGCCATAGGAAAGGAATAATAACTCCAAAGGAAATGTCAGGGGTGTCTACCAATACCCCACAGGTTCAGGAAGGTGTGTGCGTCTACAACGTGACCAGCACAGTAACGTACACCATGACTAAAGACGATGACCAGTCCGTGTGGAGATGTTTTGTGGACAATGAACTGCTGACAATACCAGACCGAGAAAAACCAAACCAAGAGTCTGAAATGGTTAACGTATTTTGTAAGTATATTCGCACTCGTGAAAATATCAAAACATCCTGTTCCACTCGTAAAATAAATTCTATATCCAGCTACAAAACATTGAATATTCTCTCTCTCTCTCTCTGTTTATATATATATATATATATATATATATATATATATATATATATATATATATATATATATATATATATATATATACCCAAACTTGAGACATTCACAGTGTCCGGTTTTTATATAGATAAAATTAAAAAAAAAGAAAGGCAACACAGGTTAAAACGTTAGCGCTTTCATTATTATCTTCAGACGTTTTACAAGTACATAATAACGTTTTCTTGACTGCAATGTCTAACAAAACTATTAATACTTTAAAAATCATTATCTATAATTGAATCTGACAGCTAGCTATAAAATGCTTGCAGTAGGTTCACATCCTCCGCAAGTAATAACATATATTAAATTTTTGGACTCACATGTCATGTCCGAATTAATAAAAAAAAATCTTTTCCTCTGAAATTAAACGACGTTCCTTGTCTTAAAAAAGGACATGTGCCACATCGCGGGTTTTTACACTTCGTCACGGATTTTGTATGTTTCCTTATTTTGGAAGGACAGAGCATTCTTCTGAGGTTTTTTGGCTGCTTTTTGCTGTTAATAAATTTAAATTTTGATAATACACTTGAAATTTCTTCTCTTATATGATTTTTATATCGGAAACAAAGTGGTTTTATGCATTTCTTGTTTTTATCATATAAATGTGCATTTTGTGGATGAAAAACACAGTCATGAGCAGGATTATCGGTATTTGCTTTTAATTTAATTATATATTGTAAAGCAAGTTTAATTCTTCTCAAGTCTAGAGGTGGTTCATATGCCTCTACATATAAACTATCTTTAGGAGAAGTTCTAAAAGCCCCCAAGCACAATCTAAGACCTTGATGGTGGATTGCGTGAAGAGCTTTTATATAGGAAGTCCTAGCTGATCCATACACAATACACCCATAGTCTAATATCGATCTTACTAGAGAGCGATAGAGTTTAAGTAGAGTACTTTTATCAGCTCCCCAATTTGTGTTTGCTATTACTTTAATAACATCGAGTGCCTTTAAACATTTTTCTTTGAGCATCTTTATGTGTGGAATAAAAGAGAGTTTATTATCAAAAATGACACCTAAAAACTTTATTTCTTTAACTACATTTATTGGATTTCCATTTAATTGCAAATTCGGATCATCATGGCTTTTCCGCTTTAAACAAAAATGTACACATGCGGTTTTATTCATTGAAAATTTAAAACCATTAGTATCAGCCCAATTTTGAATTTTGTTTAGACATGATTGTAACCGCCGCTCAATAAAATTCATATTTTTAGACTTATAACACAGAACAAAGTCATCAACATATGAACTACCATGCATATCATTTTTAAGTACTTCAGCCAAACTATTTATTTTAATGCTGAATAATGTGACTGAAAGGATACTTCCTTGTGGTACACCCATTTCTTGTTCAAAATTGTCTGAAACTGTAGTTCCTAATCGCACTTTAAAAGTTCTATCATTTAAAAAATTCTTAATAAAATTAGGTAAATTTCCTTTGAGACCAACATTGTAAAGATCTTTTAAAATACCATATTTCCATGTAGTATCATACGCTTTTTCTAAGTCTAAAAATATATACACAGCATGTTCTTTTTTAACAAAAGCATCTCTAATATAGGTTTCCAGTCTAACTAACTGGTCAATAGTACTTCGTTTTTTTCTAAAACCACATTGTATATTTGTAAGGATGTTATTGGTTTCAGGAAACCATATTAAGCGTTCATTGATCATCCGTTCCATGGTTTTACATAAGCAGCTTGTTAATGCAATTGGTCGATAATTATTAGGGTCTGCATGGTCATTTCCAGGTTTTGGAATAGGAATAATTGTGGCTTGAGTCCAGGAAGGTGGAAAATGACCTCGTTCCCAGATAGTATTAAAAATTTGCAGAAGACATTCTTTACTTTCACTAGGAAGATGTTTAATTATTTGATACTGGATATGATCCGGCCCTACAGCTGTGTCGTGAGATTTGTCTAAAGATTTTTGCAACTCTTCAAAAGTAAATGGTTCATTATAACATTCTTTGTTTTCGGATATAAAATCTAATGTTTTCTTTTCTTGAGTATTTTTATAAGTAATAAAATTAGGACTCATGTTGTTTGTCGAGGAATTTTTTGAAATTGTATTAGCTATTTCATTAGATATTTCTTTCTTATCAGTAATAATTTGATTTCCAATACTATGATGTTGATATTTTTCAGGACCTTTTCCTTTTATTTTCCTTATTGCGTTCCAAACTTTATTTATAGAAGTATGTGAATTTAGGCTTGAAACAAACTTTTTCCAAGATTTTCTTTTGTTAAAATTAATAGTTCTGCGAGCTTTTGCTCTAAATACACGGAAATTGCTTAAATTTATTGATGTAGGTACTCTATCGAATAATCTTTCTGCTTTTTTTTCCGAGCTTTTATTGCTTCATTGCATTCTTCTGTAAACCATGGTTTTTTAGTTCTAGTAGAATTTGTCGAGGTTTTAGGTATACATTCATTTGCAGTATTTAATAGTATTTCAGTAAATTTTTGAATAGGATCAGGATGGTTTTCAAATTTTTCATCCAAAATATTTTGTAAGCATAAGTATTCAAATTTATTCCAATCAGCGTTGTTTAATTTCCAGTTTTGAACATTGTTATTTTCAGAGGGTTTGGGTACTTTAAATATGATTGGGAAATGATCACTCCCGCATAAATCATCATGCACTGACCAGCTTAAATCTAGGAGTAAAGAAGGATCTACTAAACTAATATCTATTGATGAATAAGAACCATTACCCGGATGCAAGTAGGTGTTTGAGCCGTCATTAAGTATACAAAGGTTATGATGCGATGTTGCATCTTCAATTTTTTTCCCTTTATCTGTGATTTTGTCGCTACCCCAAAGCGGATTATGGGCATTAAAGTCACCGACAATCAGAAATGGAGCAGGGAGTTGTTCTATTAATTTTGTGAGTTCTAAAGATTGTAATTGATAGTGTGGGGGTACATATACAGAACAGAGTGTAATTGTCTTATCGAGAGAAACGTGTACAGCTACTGCCTGAAGATTAGTTTTTAAACTTATTTGGCTGTGAATGTATTTATTATTGATTGCTATAGAAGTACTGCCAGATGCTCTATCAGTTTGAGCATAATGGCTATACATACTATAGTTTTTAATATTGATCTTATCTGTTTCTTTTAAATGTGTTTCTTGTAAACATAAAGCTACCGGGCAATGGTCCTGAATAAGTAAAGATAATTCGTTAAAGTTAACTCTAAAACCTCGACAATTCCATTGTATAATTGTAGGATGATTCATATTTATTTCTTGTTATAGGAGATGGGGGATATCCTTCCTTTATTTTTATTGGGTGACACATTTCCGACCTGCGAGGAAGAATGACAAGGTGTAACGTCCATTTCCTCTAGGACCCCAAATTTATTGTGGAGAGCGACGAGGTCGTCTGCTCCTTTCGGCAACCGATCCCTCGACTGCTTCTGATTGTTTTTTGGGGGAGATCTGTTTTGTCTCCCGGATGATCTAGATGTTCCTGCAGATTCAGGCTTTGATGCAGCCGCAGCTGCAGTTTTTAGTGCAGCCACAGCTGCATGGCCTGCAGAAGCAGGTGATGAAGTAGATTTACCTTTGTCATGAGAAGACAAAGGTGCTTCAGATGATGAGGTCTGCTGTAGAAAATCTTTCTCAGAGACCTGAGTAGACACTTCCTTCAAAGAGGATGATTTAACAACAGTTCCATACGTCATATTTGGTTTTGGAACGCTGTACATGTTCACTAATTTTTTAGCTTCCGGATATGGTATTCTTTTCTCTGTTTAACTTTTCGTATTTCTTTTTCCTTTTTCCATATCGGACATTGTTTTGAAGACGACATGTGCTCCCCCTTGCAGTTTTTACACTTTGGGTCATTCTGACAAGTTTTGCCGTCATGCCCCTCCTCACCACACCTGAAGCATGTTTCAGATCCTTTACAATTCATTTGCCCATGCCCAAATCGCTTACACTTAAAGCATCGCAAAGGATTGGGCACAAACGTTTCAATTTTCATTAGGTACAGCCCAACTTTGATGTTGGTAGGGAGAGTTGGCATACAAAAGGTCAAAAGGTAAGTGTTTGTTGGTTCAACAACATCATTACGCTTTTTTGTGAATCTTCTTACAGAGATCACTCCCTGGGATTCCAATTCAGATTGGATTTCCTGTTCAGGAATACCATCCAGGTCGTGATCCCTGTCAAACAAAATACCTTTGCTCTGGTTGAGTCCGCTATGAACCTTTCCAAGTACAGGGATATCTGCCAACATTTTTAAAGCCAACAAAGAAGTTGAATGTTGTTTCTTGGTGACTTCAATAAGTAGAGCACCAGACTTCAACTTTTTTACAGATTTAGGCGTACCAATAATTCCTTGAATACCTTTTTGTATAGTAAAAGGCGATACTTTTGTAAGAGGCTTTGAATTTTGATCTGATAGTTTTGCTTCAAGTGTGATGAAGCGAGGCCAGTGTTCCACAACGGAGTTAAGTTGTTCATCGTTGAAAGAAATTTCTAGACCTGTTGGGTAACAACGTTTTTTTGATTTTGAAGTATCCATGGTTAGATGAAGAACGTTTCAGAATCCTTGCTCCCCGCCCACCTCGGAGCGCCAACAAGGGCGATATCTAGTCAAACGGATATCCAGTAAGATAGACACCAAGAGGATACAAAGAGACTATACTCAGACATGATATGCCTGATTGACCCTGAGCCACCGCTTAATATAAATATATCAACATGGAAACGTCGGCGTATTGGAAATTGCAAAATGAATCAGATAATATTACAAAAAGTGCAAAACATCAATATTATGGGCATGCAGATATTATCAGCTCGGCGTGACCAGCCGATTGATCAAGTCGGGCCAAACTTGACCTCCCGTCTAGATGAATATGGGGCCAAAGTGGAGTGTTGGTCATGTCAGGTGCGTTGCACCCAGCACCCGCAGACCTCAGCCACCAGGATCCCCTTCTCCACCAACACGGGTTGCAACCCAAGGCCAACAGGTTGCCCCATTTAGTCGCCTTTTACGACATGCAAGGGGGTGCCAGGGACCTATTCTTGTCACCCCGGGTCCCCACGGGGGTATTCTTATTCGAAAACATACAATTTCTATTCGATAATCTTGTCTTATTCGATAAATTGATTATTCTTATGCGACTTTTTTCTTATTCTTATTCAATATTTGCATTCTGGGTAATATGAATCGTTCCATTGTAACGACTCATTGAATAATGAAAACGAAAGAAGTTTTGCTTCATATGTCAAAGGATTCCCGCCAAGATTAACTTTCACTCTTTAAATCAATATGAATTGAGTTTACAACCAGTTCTATTTTTATCATATTTCCTTCCCAGAATGCAATTATTGAAAAAGAATAAGAAAACATTGCATAGGAAAGATAAAATTATCGAATAAGAATAAGAAGATTATTAAATAAGAATCGTATCTTTTGACCTGTTGACCTTTTTTCACAAATATAACCAACCTATTATTAGATTTATTTTGGCCGATGTTTCTAATTTCATGCTAATTGTAAGGCTTTTGCTTTTGTTTTTATACTGAATTTGACTAGATGGAATGTTCTGCCCACCTGTTCAATATATAGGATTCACTTTCTAGATACCAGATCCCACCTCTGGAATTTCCAGGGTTTTTTTGTTTTATGGCCTATTCATAGATTTGTAATATAATTATTTATGGATGCTATGAATTTTAGAAAGTGATGTCAAAAGGTTGTCATGCATGAAAATAAGAGTAATCGTGTATTGATAAAAAAATCTACATATATACTCGGAATGATAGGCTTATTTCTATTATTCTTGAAAAGGGAAAAATTTGAAACCGAAGTATAAATGTATAGATACTGATTAATCCCGTAAAACAACTTCCCAGTTCAAAGACAGTCAAAATCTGTAGTGGGAGTCAATATTCAACAGGGTCAATTTTCAACGTGTTGAGGTCATCAGAGATTAGAAAAAAAAATCAAACTGTTGAAAAATGACCCCGGGCATAAATTCAACGACTTTATGCCTCAAATTTCAACGGAGAAAAAGCATCCCCGGTTCAATATTCAACGTTGAAAAATGAACCCCGGGTCGGTTTTCAACTCGGGTCAATATTCAACGTTACATCGGCGTATACAATCACATGTGCCATGTGCATGGAGGCGTAACTAATCCTGTCAGTCGTCTGCATTGGGTGAAATTCACGACATAATGAGGCTACATTGTAATTATGGTCCAAGATAAAATACAAGATTGAAAAAAGGTTTAAAAAGAAAGAAAGAATAGCTACCATTGTTGTTTGCAGCTATCAGAGTTTGGACTAATAATCGTAAAAATCTCTTTTAATCATTTACAGGTATATCCGTATTAAAATAAAGAAATAGGTACAAGAAAAGATGTTTTTGTATAAACTATTTAAATAAATATTATTTCATACAGGAAGGTTTTGATTCAAAATATGTTTTGAACAAATCCTGACATCTAAAATCTTCAAATTTCGATGACATCCGAATTTTCTCGCTAACGAGGACGTGACCACTCATGAGTCTGTGGACGCATCGTTTATAAGAAGCTTGCATCCCAAATAATTTTGCGTCCAATACGCAAGTTCTTGCATTAATGAGAACCCTGTACATACGCACCACTTATCATAATTGTATGTTGTATGTATAAAATATCTAAACAAATATTGAAAAATATTTTGCGATTTTACTTTTTGCGGATTCGTCCTATGCGAAATTTTTTTTGCAAAAATTGAACAACCGCAGAAAATACCCGTTATACCGTTTATATATATATATATATATATATATATATATATATATATATATATATATATATATATATATATATATATATATATATATATATATATATAAACAGTTGAAATCCTGGCAATATCATGTGTTATTATAATTCACAGGTCTTTAGAAGATATATATATATATATATATATATATATATATATATATATATATATTATATATATATATATATATATATATATATATATGACTGCCGTCATGAGAAAAGGGCCCTTATCTTTTGACGTCATAATGCTCAGAAAACGACGTCAAAGTCGCGGTGTAGTAAACACGGAAGTAATTTTTGTCGACTGCGTTTCGTGAACAAGAAATAAAATTGGATTTCCAGGTGAAATAAACAAAATATTTGAAAATTGATGCTGAAATTTGTAATAAATAATATTATTACTATTTAGTACATGTATTTATTCATAATTCTGTTTATTAATAAGCATTTTTCTTGATATCGCATAATTAATCTAATCGCGACATTGAACACATTGTTGGGTACAGCGATTTATAGCGATGTCTATATACTATGCATGACTAAAAATACTGTGTATTTGTTTTCTGAGCAATTTGCAAATACTTAAATTTGACTCATATGAATTAGACTTATTATTAAAAGGTATTCTACATGCACGTAAATATTTTTTCAGAGAGAGAGAGAGAAAGAGAGAGAGATAGACAGAGATAAATGCACATATACGCGTACTTTATAAGTGCTTTATTTTAAAAATTCCTTCATTTTAAAATGGTTATTTAAATTTTAATCCATAGTTAATCATATTGATATGCACAATTAGACCAGAGAAGGGTGAAGCGTTGATGTGTGTGTGGGGGGGGGGGGGGGATCGGGAGATTATTGACAAACAAAAAAAATATAAATAAATAAATCGACGAATAAAAAAGACAACCGGTAAAAGTTCAAACAAAAAAAAGAGAACATCTTGTTTTTGATATAGATACTTGTAACATGGGAGATTCGAACCTACATGTACTACAACAAATGAAAAGGGGGGATTGTATAAATGTTATGTAAATAATTCTCTACAAAATTAACAGCAAAAGAATATGCTTAGGGGAAAAAAATGGAGAAAAGGGTGCCACGAAAATTTTGCTACAAAATATAATTTTGAAAAAAAAATAAATAATGAAATGATCAAATAATGCATAAAAAATAGTACTCTCTGATACACAGTTACTTTTGTATCAATTTTCTTAAATTGTTCCTATGAAAGCTGGCTTGAAATTAAATTGCGCTTGGTTTAGGAATTTTATTAAAATACATCTAATGTGGGCTTTTCCATGAGCATTATACTCAACGTTGAAGAAAAGAACATTTATATCGAACGTGACATTATGCGTGAAAATATGCGTATGAAACAGAAGAAAAAGCAGATTAAACGATAGATTAGGCTGTATATAAAGAAATTACGAACTTCTGGTAAATGTTGATATAGCGACATCTTTTGAGAATAAATCACTGATAGAGGAAAAAAGTACTAGTAACAAGTGGTTAAATTATGAATGTCATATTATATTGTTATAAAAATGTTCTGATCATCAACGACATTAACACCAACCGTAAGACAACGATAAAAAAATCTACATTTTGAGAAAGATGGAAAATAAAAGCAATGGTGATGTTTCGAGCGACAAAAAACAAAACAAAAACAAAACAAAAACGGAGGCTAATGCAAAGTTTTGATGACCGTGAAATATGAAGGGAAGCATTTTTTTTTTTTACTGACTATTGAAATCATGTATGTAATAAATTAGTCACGTTTTGCGTTTAAATCTTGGACGTCGAGTCTCATCTCGATAACCCGGATATCTCAACATTTTCTGAAAGTTCCGTTGATGCCGGGATACTATTAGTTATCCAGGTCCAATCAAGGGTGTACGGGGATTTACCCCGGGTTTTATTCCATACATCATGAGGCCGAAGTTTATAACTGTACCTGACTTTAAGGGAAGGATTAAACAAACACACATACCTTTCTGCTTTTAATAAAAAATATATATTTCTCTTCCAGTCGAGTGGTGACAGGCAAAAAATACGAGTCATGCTCTTTAATCTCACCATTCCAAGAAAGTGGTATTGTTTGAAAAATGGATTGCCTATTTTACTTTTAGCTTCCACGTCACAAGCAGATACTAAGTCTCCTATGAAGAAATTCAACTTAGAGCGACAGAGTTTCAAACATTCAAGGGAATATTGCTTAAACGCATCATACAAAAAATATAACGTGTATTGGACGTAATATTTAATTATTGCTTAAGACTTCTGAAAATCTTTGATGTCAAGTTAGCTGATGTCACGGATTAAGATGAATAGATGACCTTAATTGCGTAAAAATATATTTAAGTCTTGAAAGATATTCAGTTTCAATTTCAAATAGATTTCGTCAAAATTGTAACGCAACTATATTTTATTTTGCTTAGAAAAATCCAGCTCCATTAAGTGTGCATATATTAAAAAGAGTCAAGAGCAGTACAACCCTCTCTTTGATCAAACTATACAATGTTATTTTTTACAGAACTTTCCGTAAATCTGAGTTGGAAACCAGACAATCGTTTACACATGCATTGTGAGTGATTAATATCTGACGAGATTTTATCAATTCCAAAAATCCAGGGAGGTTATTATTTCAGATCGAGCGCAATGTTACAAGGAATTAAATTTTTCTAGAATTGAAATGTCGAGCATTGATAAGCTTAAAATATGACACGTGTCTGCCGGC